GATGATGATGATGATGATGATGATGATGATGATGATGATGATGATGATGATGATGATGATGATGATGATGATGATAATTTAAAAAATAGCCCTAATAATAAAGATAAATTACATCTATATAGCGCCCAACCCTGATCATAGCGCTTTATAATACAATACAACAGTAACATAAAATGTGTTCTGACCAAAAGAAAATCTTTCCAAATATTAATCTTATTAATTTAAAAACAGAAATGACTTCAGCTGATATTTGAATGAATCAAAGGATTTGATCTCTCTTAAAGTACTTGGCCAAGCATTCCGGATTTTGGGGCCTTGATATTCAAATTCCCTTTCACCCATTGTTTTAAGTTTCATAGATGGTAAAAGAAATGTCTGTTTGTCAGCGAATGACCTTAAGCCGTAATCTAATCCAATAACTACACACTCGAAATACAACAAAGCAACTAGAGGTCCAAAATGTTTTACCAGGATGGTGAGGTTAACCAGTCCATTGCTTAGGAGCTCGTTGTCGTCAATGTCCAGGGGTCCAGACGTGGTTATCAACCCTGTGCTTGCGTCAATGCTAAATTTGTCCGAGTTCTCTAAAAGAAAAGAAAAAAAAACCCCAAGAAAACAACGTAAACAATTTCGTAGACAGCTTTTTCTAAATGTTCTATTGTTTTTCCAAACACTAACAAAACAATTGTTAGATAATATCTGGTATAAATAGTTGAGTCTGTATTTTGTTTTCTGCTTACGAGTAATTCATAGAACAAGCCCATAAGATTTACCCAGGTTATGAACTGTTTTCTATCGTGTAACAATGTATGACATCCTTCGGAATGAAATGTCATTGGTGAACTCTTAGAGTATCCTGGAAACAAATAATAAAGAATGAACAATTACGACGAAGAATAGGTCCATATTATATTATACAAACATCAACACTCCCCCAGAAAGTAATAAAACTGCAACTGAGCTAGTTTGGGCGCATTATCTGCCGTGAATCACTCGAGAAACACATTCTGGAAGCAAAGGTTCAAGGCAAGAGAAAAAGGGGGAGACCATGCAGAAGACAGAAACAGGACATAGAAACCTGGCTTTGAACCAAAACAACACAGGAAGGCAGAAAAGCTAGGAACAGAAGTGTTTTTTTTAAAATTGGAGAACGGGTAGAGAAGCAACGTCCAAATGTACTCGGAAGAAGAAGAAGAAGAAGAAGAAGAAGAAGAAGAAGAAGAAGAAGAAGAAGAAACGATGACTCCAGTGCCTACGTGTTTCACCTTGTTGATGTGGCTGTCCATATTCGAGAGAAAACGGGATAGCATTTTATTTTCTTCCATGACCCCAATAAACCAGAGCTACATGCTGTATACAGCTAACTTTCCTGGTGCCCAGAGTAAGCTTGAAGTGAAAGTTAGGCTTTCTTTGGTCGTGCCCAACGTTCTAAACAGCATCAATGAAATCTAGAAACCTTGTAATATAGAGCTTTCAGATTCAGAATAATCATGTAATAATTATTGCATTTCGTTTAAACTCTGAAGAAAAACGTATTGAAAAAAAAATAGTTTCGCGTAACCCAAACCTCTTTGGTGTAACTTAAAATGACCTCCGAGAACCTAGCATAAAGAATATTGAGATGACGGTTTGAAAAGCCTCCCCTCTAAAAGCGCAGAAAAAGTAAATTTCGACTTCTTGTTCGTGAAATAAAAAAAAAAGCTGTTTTTGTTTTTCCCTCGCGTGACGTCACGGCAAACCCAAAGTGGCCCCAAGGAAAGCGGAGGAAACCCTCGATGTGCGAACTGTACTAGGTCAAGTGAGGCTAAAGTTCACCTTTATCAAAATGAAACACGACCGCCAGACATTGTGCTCAAACTAGGACTGTAGTTACATTATGTGGAGCATTGAATTGTCAAACTGTTCAACTGTTCAAAGCCCAGTCATTTTCCAGGAGAAAGAGAAAAAAAACCCGTTTCATTCTGTTAAAAACTGCTACCTAGATTATTATGTTTTTTCTGTTTTTATTTTAAAAAACCCCATTAGAATTTGAATTCGACAAAATGTCAATTGGGTATATGCCACCAATAGTACATAACCCCCCCCCCCCTTTTGCAGTCAAATAAAATAATAAAATAAAACATATTTTAGACTCAGTAGGCTTACACTTGAATAGCTGGCCTGCGAAATTTTAGTAGTATGGATGTTTTTACACCACACTCAACACAATTTAAATAATTGAGGAGGAGGGCTTCCGACCTTGCCTGTCGTTAGGGAGGGACAACCAGGGCAGAGAGGGAAGCAACATCCTTGCATAACAGAAAGACCGAGATACTCGATAAAAAATCCCCCACCCCCGGCACTCGGGAATCGAACTCAGGTCTCCTGGGTGCGACAAGGAACACCTAACCGCTATATCACAGACGTTGGACAATCATAATATCGCTTTGTCCTACCGTGTATAATGGAGAAGACGATGTCGTTCTGGATAGCGGCACTGTCTCCATCTCGAGCTGTGACAGCCAGCACTGGGGTGCCCTGTAACGAAACAGTAGTTGGAAGCTTCATCATCTCTCAGGTCTCAGTGTGTGGGTGGGTGACGGTTGCTCTGGTGTGGTGTGCACAAACAAAGACAAACATTATCTAACATTCCCAAATATGCGCACCCATAAGATTAAAAAACCCCAACAAAAAAACCTTCTGCCCCTTATTCTTATTTGCTCTTGGGCCCAGTATGGTACATGGGTCGTATTTCATCACACAATAGACAGGTGAGGTAACCAGTACGCCAAGCGGTAAGAGCTGAGTTGAAATCCACTTAAGATCCCCATCCATCTGAGAGCCGTTTTTATTTTTTCTCCTGGTGACGGGTTTCTAAGTCTGAGACCACTGTACCTTTCACTATGTAAAGTTTAAATAAGAAGCAGGACCTCCGAAATGACCAAAACAACGATACAAGTAGATGGAGCGCCTTGATAATTTCCTAAACAATCTACGTTCAAGAATCCCCCATTGTGGGTTCGAAACAGGATATTCAGGATCATTATTCATAGCCGAGTTTGATATCAAGTGAGCCAACGACACCATCTTTGGGGATGAGTGTTATTGTTGTTGTTGTTGTGTGTGTGTGTGTGGTAGCCTATCCGTTCGAAATGTTCGGAGCCCCGAAGAGTGTGCTCTTCGCCAGGGCAACCGCCTCCCTTGGGTAGCGGGTGAGGCAGTCCAACCTCCCTGAATCCTCCCCGAAGAGATGCCACCGCCGGGCCTCCGTGGCGGGGCATCTCTGCAGCCAATGCTCCAAATCTTGGGGCTCCTCGCTGCACAATGGACATATTGGGTCCGATGTTTTGTCTATTCTATTTTTGTAGGCCCGAAGCCCAGAGAAATGACCGGTCCTGATTTTTGCCAGTAATGACTGGTCACTGCGGGACATAATAAGAGCCTCTCGTTTTAAAGAAAATGCCCTGTATACTTCCTTCGTCCGCGTGTGGCATATAGGGGGGTCTTTTGTAATTAGTTTTATCTGGGCGCACGCACTGTCATAAGTAATTTGGCGGCCTGGACCCGGCAGCGCTGTTGCCAGTTTGGCATTACTGTCAGCGAGATCGTTGCCGAGGATATCGCGGTGACCAGGGATCCACTGAATCGTGGGTTGAGGTATTGCATTATTTATGCGTAGTCGCAATTGGTCGAAGGATGGTGATGTTCCCACAAGTGCCATGCATAGTGATTGACTGTCGGTGAAGATAGCGACCGAGTTGGATGCATCGCACTCTTTGTCAATCCAGTCAATGGCCATTTCCAAGGCTCTCCTTTCTTCCTCGAAAGAGCACGTAAATATGGCGCCTTTCTCCCTCAATGTCTCGACAACGGTAGGGTTGGACGGGTTCCCCGTTGTGATGACGACTCCAGCGCCGCCGTCCGTTGTTCCTGCCCTAGCCGAGCCGTCAGTGTAGATATTGTACTGTGCGCCAAGCTCTCGTGCTCGACGAACAGCAGCGCTTTGAATCTTCCCACTGGAGTCACTCCTTCCGCTTATGCCGTACAGGTGGGGAAAAGTGATGTCGGGGTTGATTCCACACGTTCCCAGGGCCTGGTTTCGAAGTAAGTGATGGGCCTCCTCTCGCAGTCGAACAGATGTGGGCTCTTTTTGCTGACGTCTTCGGCCCTTTTTCGGAAATCCCTGCGTCCTTTTAGGCGTCTGTGCACTTGTTCCGTTGCCGCAATTCGTCGAGGGTGGTCGTTGTTCAGTCGGAGGGCCTTCTCTCTTGATCGGAGACAGTTAGCATTTATGGTAGACTGAATGCTTGGGACCCCCGTTTCAGCTCGAAGTGCCTCGATCGGTGAGGACTGGGCTTGGGTGGTAATCAGTCGCAGACATCTGTTTTGAATCACCTCCAGATTATTTATCAGAGTTTTGCTCAGCCACGGTTGCCAGCTGCTGCTCGCAAAGTTGAGAACACTTTGTATATGAGTGAGGTAGACCTTGCGTAGGTCGTCTTTCCTCCATCCCCATTTTGAGTGCGCTACAGCGCCGAGCATCCTCATCTTCTGTGTGGCCTTAGCTATTACTGTCTCAACCTGTTTCCTGAACGTGAGCCTGCGGTCGAGTGTGACTCCCAGGAGTCTTGCGTAGGGCTCATACCTAATTGACGAATTATTTATCGTGATGCACGGCTTCCATTCCGAGTCAGATGTTGCGAGCGTGAAGAATGTTGTCTCGCTCTTTGAGCCGTTTAGCGTGAGTTTCCATCGCCTGTTCCAGTCAGCAACGATGTCCGCCGCTCTTTGTGCCAGACTTTCGGCGTCTCGTGTCGTGCGTGATGAAGCGAGGATAGAGACGTCGTCAGCGTAGAGTGAAATTGTGAGATCGTCCGGAAGTAGTTTCGCCAGTTCGTCGATATAAAAAAGGAAGAGGATGGGTGCCAGGACCGAACCTTGTGGGAGACCTTGGTTCATTTTCCTGCTATTACTCAGTATTCCATTGAATCGGACTCTGGCTTGACGATTTTGAAGGAAGTCATTCAGCCATAAAACGTATGTATCTGGGATACCTCTGTCCAGGAGGGTGAGGAGTAGGCGTTCTCGCCAGACCGTGTCGTATGCCTTTGAAAAATCGAGGAGGACGAGTACCGATTTTTCCTTCTTTTGGAAGCCATCAGAAATCTTCTGCGTAATTCTCAGAATTTGGTCTTCCACACATCTCCCCTTCCTGAAACCAGCCTGCAGTTCGGAAAACCAGCCGTTCCGCTCGGCCATGTCGTACAGTCGTTCAGATACCATTCTCTCCATAACTTTGATGACACAGGATGTGAGGCTTATCGGTCTAAACGACGTTAGTTCCGATGCTGGTTTGGCGGTCTTGAGGAGGGGGACAATGATGGCGTCTTTCCAGACTTGTGGGACATCAGCTGAGCGAAATGACATGTTGAAGATGGAGAGCAGTTTCTTCAGCGCCCTGGGACCCAGGTTTTTGAGGAAGGACGGGGGGATGTTGTCTGGTCCGGGTGATCCGCGGGACTTCATCTTTGCAATGGCATTCCTCAGTTCCCCGATAGTGAAATCGGGCTGGTCTGCCCTTGGGTTGTTCCGTAAGTATTTCAGTCGCTGTTTGAGTTGCCAGTTTTCGGCTCTGTCTTCTTTCGACATGTTTAGACTGCAGACGTTCGCGTAGTGGTCTGCGAATATGTCCGCCTTATGCTTGCTTGATGTCACCAATCGCCCATTGTGTGACATTGCTTCATTTGGCGAGTTTGTCTCAGGGGTACCGTTGAGGCTTTTTATGATTTTCCACATCTTGGTGTCGTCCTGTGAGTTGGTGGTTTTCTCGAGCAGTTTTCGCCAGGCGTCGGTCTTAGCATCGTTGATCGTCTCCTGCGCCACGTGGCACGCCTCTAGCCATTCTTTGCGGCGGGTTCGCACTTCTTTCCGGAGTCTATTTCGCCTCCGGATTGCTCTTCGAACTGTGGGGGTTTCCCATGTCTTTGTGTGCCTGCCTGGTTTCATAATGCCGACAATACGGGTACCGACGTCCATCATGGCAGTGTAGAATTCAGACACCATGTTGCGGATGTGGTTGTTCGACGGCATTCTAGTCACAGTGTCACGTTCAACGGCGTCGGTGAAAGCTTTCCAGTCGACACCGAACGATTTCCAGGTGACTTGACCCTTGAATACTGATCCATGGCTGACCTCAGTGTTAAGGGTCACGGAAATCGGCGCATGGTCAGAGCTGCCAATTCCGTCTACTGGGCACCAGGTGTGCTTCCCGCTCCATGTTGACCCACATATAGAGACATCAGGGGTACTTTTTCCTCCGGTTGATGGTAGGGAAGAGGGAGAGGGATTGGGGTTGGGATGGTCGTCATGTCTCGACTTGGTGTTGATACGAGTGTGTCTTCCGTCGTTCATTACCGTCATGTCGCTATCCAGTGTCCAGTTCAGCAGAACTCTTGCATCCGGTGGTTGAAAGGGATCCCAAAGGGGACTGTGGGCATTAAAGTCACCTAGTATGATAGACCCGGGTGTGGTTGGGAGTTCGTCGGTTGCCAAACGAGTAGATTGTTGAGATGTGTGGGATCTGACGGGGGGGGGGGGGCAGTAGATATTGCACAGTGTGACCCATTTCCTCTTCCCGACCCTCACCTTAAACATCGAAAGCTCAGTTCCTCTGATGGACGCGTCTCGGACATGTTCGAAAACCAGGGTATTCTTGATATAAGATATGAGACCTCCACCTCCGTCCTGGCTCCGTCTGTCCACCCTGATTGATGAATATCCCTCAAATCTAGGTGTCGTCTTACTTGGTTTTAGTTTCGATTCCTGGATGAGGCAGATGTCGAAATCACCCTCCTTCAAGCGAAGTCCAAGCTCGTTTGCCTTAGTTGCGATGCCATCGGCGTTCCACTGCATAATGCTGAGCGAACTTTTGATCCACTTTTGGGGTTCCTCGACAGATGTTTCGATCGCTGTGCCACCCACCACCCGTGTGAAGTCTCTGGGCTTATTCGACCGCTCACAACCCTCACAGCTCCAACTGTGGGTACCTTCCGCAGCGGCGTTTGCGAGCAGTCTCGTTAGTTTCGTGCAAGACTTGTGGAAGTACTGGGTACAGGACGCGCATGCAACTGGCGTGGTATTCACTCGGATTGGTTTCCGGCAGCCCTTACAGTTGGCTTTGGGCCGTGGGGTGGATGGTAGGGGGGTAGATCTGACAGTATTATTTGTGATTGGGATTGCGGTTGGTGCCGTGTTGCAGGAGTGGGTTGCACACCTCCATTTTGTCTTGGGGTGGTACCTGCCGATGTGGCTGCACCTAACGTCCTTATGGCACTCGCTTGAGCATCCCAATTCGTCGCAGCGGAACCGGCCGGCGTTTTTCCTGAGCATCTTGCTGCAAACGCTGCACTCGCGTCTGGCAAAGGTCTCCTGTCGGGGTGTTTGGTCGACGGGGACTGGGGGTGAGCAGTGAGTTCTGCAGAGCCATTCGCGCTTCCTGGAGTACCGGGAGATGCCGCTACAGGATTGATGACATTTCTCGTTGCAGCTGTCAGCACTGCATATGAACTGGTTAAGAAGCAGCCTCTCTTTTCGGCCGCAGGCGTTGCAGACCTGTGGCGGCAGGGCATCCGGTGAAGGGGATGTCCTTTCGGCTTGGGCAACAGTGTTGATTGCGGTAGCTCCACTGTGGGTCGGAGAGTGTCGGTTGAGTGTCGGCTGAGTATTGTGAGTGGGGGTTTCTCTAGCGCTGGTGCTGTTCTCATTGGAGGCTCTGGGTCCTGGGGAGAAAAAATGGGGAGGCCGGGCCGCCTCTTGGAGTCGCGCTGTCTCTCTGGGGGCGGTGTCGGCTTGGGTTTGGTGTCCTTTTGTTTGACCTGGGTTTTTTCTCTGAGATATTTCAAATTGTAATGTTCTTTTCCCTCCTCTCTTTGACCGTGTAGTTTTTGGGATCCTATTTAGATTGTTTTCTCTTAGTTTCCTCATAACATTGGGAGATATAAAGACATGGTTCATTGGTCGAAATAACAACAGAGTGTCTGGGGAGTATGTTGTTCTATTTTCCCTTTCGGTGAATATCTCTACACTGTCCATTCAAACCGATGATTGGTGACCATGAAGATTAGGGGAAGCTCGTAGAAAAAATC